ACGGTTCAATTCCGAAAGCACCGAGTTTTATTTCACAGTGATGTTTACATGAATTCGCGCGGAATAATTACGTCATATAAATACCTATCTACAGGGTGGGCCATCTATTGGTACGTTTTTAAAAATGCGATCAAATGAGCATACATTGATATTTTTTATTAATTTTTTTTTTGTTGTGAAGCTAAAAGTATCCGCGTCAAGAATGAAAAACGATTTCGTTCATGTGGCTCCCTCTACTGGCCTTACAGTATGCCATTCGGTCACCCCAATTATTAATGACATTTTGGACTACCTCGGCGCCAATTTCACTCAAAACAGTCGTAATATAATGTCATCCACTAACATCCCTTTCTCACGAACTTTCCTCACCAATTTGCGTATAGCTCCTTCGGTGGGTGCTCTATCACGACCCATATTTCTTTTCAAAATTCGTACAGTTTCGGCGACACAGCACTGACTTTGAAAATAAGTTTTTAAAATTTCAAAACGCTCTTCAAGAGAAAACATGTTGTTTCGTGCCGCGGACGGTATGACTAATAAACTGTTAAAATTTCGGGTCTGTAGCTCGTTCGGTGTTGCCATACGACGAAATTCAAAAACGTACCAATAGATGGCCCACCCTGTAATATGGTATGTTTCTTGTTTAAGAAGAAATTATTTCAACAAAATTGAAATAACTAATATCATATTTATTTTATTATTATTTTTCCTCTCAAAAGAAAAAACTTTGACCAGGGCACGTTTATTGATATGGGCCTGAGTAGGTCGATAATTCAGATCATTTCTATGGTTCAGCGACGCACTTTTCATGACAGCGCCGCTGTCGGAATATTGCGGAACTAAAATACTACTTAGTTTCATGGCTTCACGTCAATTTCACTATAATATACAAACGAAATTTTCGGATACACTTTTCTCTTATACTAAAACTCCTACCGCGTTTCTAAAAGCATAGAATTGTTCATTTAGGTTTTCCGCAATTCGCCAGCTACTTTTTATGAACGTGCAAGATCTGAAACTCTTGCAACACATATTGTGATGTGTTTACTGCAGAAGCCGATAACAAAACTGTAAGTCTTTAATTTTCTTTCGTTTTTCGTATTCAAATGTAGCTAGCGAATTGCGTTGTTGTCGATACTTTAATTGTGGGGAAGGATTTTTCAATCCATAAACACAGAAGTATTTAATATTTAATGATAAAACAGGACACTCCAGCATCCCCTTAAGGCCATTGGATCATCTAGTATAAAGATATCATATTGATTTATATTTAAGA